GATTGATGCAGAAAAGGCATTTAACAAAATCCAACATCAATTCCTGATAAAAACACTCAACAAAGTAGGAATTGAAGGGAAATTCCTCAACATAATAAAGAGCATATATATAAAACCAACAGCCTACATTACTCTCAATGGAGAGAAACTGAAAGCTTTCCCTCTGCAAACAGAAACCAGACAAGGATGCCTTTTGTCACTACTCCTATTCAGTATTGTGCTGGAAGTCTTAGCAAGAGCTATTTGGCAAGACAGAGAAATTAAAGGCATCCAGATTTGCAAAGAGGAAGTAAAACTCTGTTTGCAGACGATATGATCCTATACATAGAAAACCCCAAAGACTCAGTAAAAAACCTACTAGGCCTCATTGGAAGATTCAGCAAAATGGCAGGAAATAAGATCAACATACAAAAACCAGTTGGATTCCTTTATACCGAAAACAACAGTGCTGAAAAGGACATCAGGAAAGCAATACCATTTACAATAGCCACCCAAAGGATGAAATATCTAGGAATAAATGTAACCAGAGAAAGCATTTATACAAAGAAAACTATAGAACACTACTACAAGAAACCAAAAGAGACCTACAAAAATGGAAGAATGTACCATGTTCCTGGATAGGAAGACTGAATATTGTGAAAATGTCAATACTGCCCAAAGCAATTTACACATATAATGCAATCCCAATCCAGATTCCAAAGACATTCTCATCACAAATCTGGTTTAAGTGGTCTAGACTAGCTCCTTCTGTCTTGTTGCTCCACCCTTTCTAGGATGGCATACTACCTAGATCTGTATGTTGTTGTTGTTGTTAAGTGCCATCAAGTTGATTGCGACCCATAGCAACCCTATTTAGGGTTTCCAAGGAGCAGCTAGTGAGCTTGACCCACCGACCTTGCAGTTCAAGAGACTTTGCAGTCTGACGCATTAGCCCACAGTGCCACACCAGGCATACGTAACCTGTATGGTCCAGTTTAACTCTCCACCTGCTGCCCACCCAGGTCAGTGGGAAGGGTTTAAAGTTGAGAGCCTTTCCATCACAGGGCACTACCAGAAGTTTCCTCACATCCCTTTGAGCGGGACGTGGTCACATGGTCACCCTGGCTGCAAGAGAGTCTAGGAAATGTAATCTCTATCCTGGATGGCCATTGGCTCAGCTAAACATCACAGGGAGAGTGGGCGTTAGGGGTATCTGTAGTCTCCGTGACAGCACAGTAAGCCTGGCTGGGATTTGATGCTGGTTGTAAACCTATTGAGCACTGGGTTTTGGGGTTGGTGGAGAGCTTTACCATAAATCCAGAGTATTTTCTCATCTATTACAGTTTCTTACCTATAAAATGGATTAGCTACATCTCTCTTGGAGAGTTATTGTTAAGTGTTACTGAGTTGGCTCTGACTCATAGTGACCCTGTATAGGGTTTCCAAGGAAAGTTGAAGTATCAACCTTGTGGTTAGCAGTCCAGTGCTTATCCTACAACACCTCACCAGGAGAGTTATAGTGTGGAATAAATGAGGACATGTATAGGATACCATATAGGGCAGCAACCAACTCATAATAACTGCTGATCTCAGCTTTTGTTCTTTTTTTTCACAAAGCGTTGGTTGAAGTGTTTCTGCATAAACAAAGTTTAAGGTAGTGGTTAGGAGCATGGGTCCTGGGTTACACTGCATGGCTTCAATGCCAGCTCCGACACTCAGTAGTTGTCCAATCTTGAGTAAGTAGTTTAACCAGTCTGTTGGATAAGCACTGGACTATTAACCACAAGATTGGTGGTTGAAACACACCAGCTACTTTTCAGAAACCTTACAGAGGGTCGTTGTGAGTTGGAACCAACTCCACTGCACTTAACAACAATACTTCTCCAAGAGAGATGTAGCTAAATCCATTTTACAGGTGAGAAACTGTAATAGATGCGAAAACACTCTGGGTTCATGGTAAAGGTCTCCACAGACCCACAAACCCAGTGCTCACTAGGCTTACAACCAGCATCAAATCCCAGCCAGCCTCACTGTGCTGTCACTGCGATTCTGTTGCTGATGATAAGTGCTGTCGAGTCACTTCCAATTCATAATTGTGCTGTGCTGTGGGGCTGAACCTTCTCCTCACGATGATGTGTGGAAGCAGGTAAGATGACCCACATGCCCTGTAATTGAATCAAGTTCTGCCCTGCCTCCTCCCTCCAGCTTTTCTGAGCTTAGAGAAAGGTGGCAGCCCTCCTGTGTGCAGAGGCAGTTCAGGCAGATGTAAGATCTGCATGAACGGAGTCCACCGCGTGCATGGAGGTTTCAGGTGTGTTTGTGAATTCATTAGGCACCACAGCAAATGAATGTGACCTCCTTAATTCTGCCTTAACTTTATCTGCAGTTACATTTAGAATTGAACAAAATCAGCCAATGAGTGTTTTTTCAATGTGTGTGCATGTGTATTGCGGTGTGTCCTTGTTGAGTCTGTTCCAACTCATGTTGAACAGTGACCCTACATGACTGAGCAGATTTATGTCACAGGGCTTCATCTTTATAGGAGCAGAGCACTAGTCTTTTCTCTCACAGACTGGCTGGTGGATTTGAACTGCTCCTTGTTTGGTTAGCAACCGCATGCTTATCTGTGACATCACCAGAGCTTCTTGTACATGTTTGTGTTGTTGTTGTTGTTAAGTGCCACCAAGTCAGTTCAGACTTATAGTGACCCTGTATAGGTTTTCCGAGGCTGTAATTCTTTGTGAAAGCAGAAAGCCTCATCTTTCTTCCACAGAGAGGCGGGCGGGCTCAAACTGTGGGCCCTGTGGTTCTCACTACAGTGCTTATCGTATGGAGCCACCGATTTCCCTGTATGTGTCTGTGTTATGTTGTTATGTGCTGTTGAGTCATTCCAATTCATGGTGTCCCTGTACAGGGTTTCCAAAGAGCAGCTGGTGAGTTTGAACTGCTGACCTTGTGGTTCAAGCTGACATAGAGGTCAATTGTTGTTGTTATGTGTCGTGGAGTCGGTTCTGACTCATAGTGACCCTGGACAGGGTTTCTGAGGCTGTAAATCTTTATGGGAGCAGAAAGCCTCATCTTTCTCCCGTGGAGCAGCTGGTAGTTTCGAACTGCTGACCCTGAGGTTAGCAGTACAATTCGTAACCACTATGCTACCAGAGCTCCCTAGAGGTCAATAGGACTAGCAATAGCATAATTTGGATTGAGACTTATTTAAATATAAGCTGGGGCCAGGGCTTTGGGAAAGTCACAGACTTCACCAACTTTGATGGTGGGTGACAGTCATCCTCTTACAGACCTCCCCAGGTGGACAGTCAGTCACAGCATCTATCCACAGAGCCCCATGGCTGGCCTGTCACTTGTCTTGCTAATTTTGATATACTTTTTCTGGTGGTTTTCATGGAATTTTTCAGTCACCAAACTTATTAAAAAGTAATTCGTCAGTAATACTTCTTTTGTAGTCCTGGTGTGACCCTGTGGGTTAATGAGCTGGACTGGAAAGTTGGTTTGAACTGCAAGGTCAGCGGTTCAAACTCACTAGCTGCTTCTCAGAAACCCTATTATACAGGGTGACTATGGGTCGGAACTGACTTGCCGGCACTTAACAACATGCCTTTTCCCCACCTCCGAACTCTTGCTGCTACTGCTGCTGCATGTTGTCGACTTGATTCTGACCCTTGTTGTTGTTAAGTGCCATCGAGTTAGTTCCGACCCATAGCGACCCTGTATAGGATTTACAAGGAACAGTTGGTGAGCTTGAATTGTTGACCTTGTAGTTCAAATGGCTTTGCAGTCTGGTGCATTAACCCACAGTGCCACACCAGAATTCTGACCCTTGTTGTTGTTGTTACGTGCTGTGGAGTCAGTTCCAACTCATAGCAACCCTGTACAGGGTTTCTGAGGCTGTAGATCTTTACAGGTAGAGCAGAAAGCCTTATCTTTCTCCCGTGGAACAGCTGGTGGTTTCGAATTGCTTACCTTTAAGGTTCGCAGCCCGATTTGTAACCACTACGCTATCCCTCAAAAGTGTTTCCAAGGCAGTAAATCTTTATGGGAGCAGAAAGCCTCATCTTTCTCTGCAGGAGCTCTTGGTGGATTCAAACTGCTGATTTTGTAGTTAGCACTCCAAACTGCTACTCCACCAGGGCTCCCTCCCCCATCCCCTGGTAACCACTAGTCTTTTTCAATCTCATGATTTATTTGTTCTACATATTTCTTGTAAGTTTGTTGTTGTTTGATAAGTGCCATCGAGTCAGTTGCAACTCAAAGTGACTTTTGTAGGCTTTCCAAGTAGCGGCTGGCTGGTGAGTTTGAACTACTGACCTTGTAGTTTAAATCAACCTTTCAGTACAGCATATTAACCTGCAGCACCACGCCAATATTTACTCTTTTGTGTCTAGCTAATTTCACTCAGTATAATATTTTTAATTAGCATTTTTCTGAGTGTTGAAGATATTCAGGGAAACATAGTCACAAACTGAAGCCCTCTAGGACATTTTACACCGTTTCCCCCTTACTTGTGAGTGAGGACTATGAGACGAAGCCCACTGGGATATGGGGAAATTCTCTCACTTGGCTGCCTCCATCTCTCCCACTGATGGGTGTGGTTCAGCCTGTAGCCCGGAGTCTGAGGTGCAGGACTGCTGGCCCCTTCTCTCAACTTTTTAGGCCTCATTTCCTCATCTGCAAAATGAGATAAGCATGTCCGCCTGACAAACTTTTTATTTATTTAATAAGGACAAGAAATTGTATAAGAAAGCCCTGGGAGGCAGAGGTGAAGCCTGTGGACATTGAAGTGAGATTCCCTGGGTTCCATCCTGGCTCCACAGCTCACAGCTCACAAGCAAGTCACTTAGGTTCTCTGACCTCAGTTTCCTCATCTATAAAATGGGATAGCAGCATCTATCTCACAGAATTATGAGGATCAGATGAGTTACATATAAATTACATTGCTGTTATTATTATGTGCCATTCAGTTGATTCTGACGCTTGGCGACACTGTAACAAAGTAGAACTGCCCCATGGGTTTCCTAAGCTGTCCTGCTATGGCGCTGTGGGTTAATGCGCTGGACTGCAAAGTCGGTTTGAGCCGCAAGGTCAGCGTTTCAAACTCACCAGCCTTTCCTTGGAAACCCTATACCGGATCTCTATGGGTCAGAACTGACTCAATGGCACTCAACAACAACAATGTTTATGAGAACAGATCACTTCTATAGGTCTTTCATCCAATGGGGCAGTTGGTGGGTTCAAACTGCTGACCTTTCAGCTAGCAGCCGAGTCCTCACAACCTAGCCTCAGTTTTCCCACAGCCTTCAGGGCACTCTTGGCATTGGCCAGGGGCGAGGTCAGGACATGCAGGCTGAGAAGCAAAGGAGAAAACCCATTTGTGACTGAGTCAGGATTTCAATTCATGGTGACCTCACGTGTGTCAGTAGAACTATGCTCCATGGTACTGTTAATGCTTGTGATCTTTAGGGAGCAGATCACCAGACCTTTCTTCTCAGAGTGTCTTTGGGTGGATTCAAACCTCCCACCTTTCAGTGATTAGCTGAGCACTTATCCAGGAGCATCACCTAGGGACTGTTAAGAAAAGAAGACTCATGTATATTGAACCTTCTTTTTGGGACGGCGAGGCTGTGGAAGGATGCGTGTAGGGGAGGTGCTCCACCATGGTGTTTCGGTGACCCTTGTTGCTCTGCTTGCCTTCCTCAGACCACCTGAAGGAGCGCCTGGCCACTGAGCTGTCTGGCCTGCCCAAGGTGCGCCTGATCCGTGCCAATAAGCGGGAAGGCCTTGTGCGAGCCCGGCTGCTGGGGGCATCCGCGGCCAGAGGCGATGTGCTAACATTCCTGGACTGTCACTGTGAGTGCCATGAAGGCTGGCTGGAGCCGCTGCTGGAAAGGTGTGTGGAAAAGGCCTCATTCCCACTGGTGGAGAGGCTATGGGGGCCCAGAGAGGGGATCGTAATAGAAGCCACGTCATTGACTGTTAAGACCACAGATGATTTAATGTAAAATGCTTAGAGCATGCAGCAAAGGAAAGGTGCTGTGTTAAGTGTTTGCTCTCTTATTATTACATTTTGTTTTGTTTTGTTTTGTTATTGTTTGTTTTCAAGTCAGTTCCGATTCTTAGTGGCCCTGGATAAGGTTTCCAAGAGCAGCTGGTGGGTTTGACCTGTCGATCTAACCACATCCCATTACACAGTGCATTGTAGAAAACTTGGAAACTACAATCAGCCAAGAAAATTGCCAATCAAATAGAATCACACACTAGAGAGCACATAGTTTCGTATATTGGCTTCAAACGGAACCAGGGGCAACTTGGCTAACGTCACATAGCAAATAAGGGACAGAACTAAAACCTGTCTGTGAACTCCAAAGCTGACCGTGTGTTCTTGGTGCATCTCTGTTCTGACAGAGATTCGTTTCTTGATTTTAAGCCATTGCATTGGGAATAAATAACCCAATTCTGAGACACTGGAAATCTACTTTCTGTTTTAAAAGATACTTTGATTTTTTGCATGTCTTGACTTTGAGAGAGGAAAACTCAAGTGTGTAGAGTCCTGAGACTGCAGATGAAGGCCAACATGGCCTCCTCTGCCCAGTGTCCACCATAGATGGTCACCTCCCAGGGCTCAGACCCTTGAGATAAGAGGGTGATTCTGAGCTGGCTCTTCCTCCTTCCTAGTGGAATGGTGAGGAGAACCCAGGCTTGAATCTCAGCCTTCCTTCCCCCATTCACCCACCTGAAAGACAGGGTATGCTTGTGCTTACAGGATCCACCGCGAGGAGTCGGCAGTGGTGTGTCCTGTGATTGATGTCATCGACTGGGACACCTTCGAGTACTTGGGGAATGCTGGGGAACCCCAGATCGGCGGCTTCGACTGGAGGCTGGTGTTCACGTGGCATGTGGTCCCCGAGAGGGAGAGGATACGAATGCAGTCCCCCATCGATGTCATCAGGTCAGGGCCTGATGATGCGTGTGCCTCACAGCATCAGACCAGACTGTCAGGGAAGTGGGAGTGGATGGACCTGTGGGGAGGAGCCAGCTCTGGCCGGTAGGTGAGGCTGGGCCTGAGCAGGAGGATGATCAGTGCGCTCATTCCTGAGGTGCTAAAGCACCTCTTCCTCCTCTGTCGGTTGAGAACCAATTGGGAGACAGGTACAGGGGACAGACATGTGCAGGTCAGCATTTCAGCTTCACTGCTGGTGTATCGAACTGGAGATGGCGACTTCCATCTGCACCCACATGTGGCAGTTGGGCTCTGGCCTTGAGACAATGCACAGTTGGCCACAGTGGATAGAGTGCAGAGAGATGAAGCTAAGAGATGGGCAGGAAGTGGTTGAAGAGGGAGTGGAGGGTTGGGACTTCCCCTTGACAGGGTGGAAGCCAGTGAGAGTGTCTGACCCAGTTTCTTTATAAAGACTGTGCTGGATGTCATGTGGGCAGGGACCCAGGTGGGAAGCTCTGCGGTCTCCCAGGTCAGACGTAATGGAGGCCTGGATGAGATGGTGGAGGGGAAGATGCAGGAAAATGGTGGATTCCAGAGAGGTTGAAGTCGAAGAATTGTGGGAACTTGGGTGGGGAGTCAGGGAGGGAGGAATCGAGGATGATAAGAGATTTCTGCAGGAGCTCTTAGAGAGCATCCTTCCTGCCTACTCCTCACTAAATGGATTTGGACACTGAGGCACAGTAGGAACAATCTTGTCCAGGGTCACAAATCCAGTCTGTCATGCTGACATGAGGCTTCCATTGTCCCCTTCCCCCATACATGTGCTCAAGGACTTTGTAACCAACTGCCCTTCTCTTTCCCTAATATCCTCGAGCCTCAGTTTCCTCACCTGTGAAATAGGTTTGCTCATATTCACTCTACCTACTTCCTGGACTTTAGGGATGAACCGTTGGGGAAATGCTTTATAGATCTTCCCGTCCACTGGCCATGTTGCTGCCCTTTTTTGCAGCTGGCCCTGAGAGCGGCTGGAGGAATTTACATATTTTAAACTCTCAGGCTCTTCATGTTATATTTTCCTCCATTTTCAAATTCCTTTGCATCTACATCTCTGCACAGCTCTCTGTGTGGTAGGATGGAAGCGTTCGGCCATTTCTGAAGCCAGTTCTGCAGCTAGATAAATCTGGTGGGCAGAAAACAAGGCCGAGGCTGGCTGTCCAGCTCCTAGAGGGACAACCACTCAAACTGGAGAGGAACTGGCCTGTGGGGAACTTTAAAATGCCCCACTTGCCTTTTGTAACCTTCTGCTGGCCAGCCTCTGAGCTGCATCTCAGTGCTTACCTGTGAAACCAGGGGTTTCTGAGCCCTGCTCTCAGGAGGCATGGCTTCTCTTCCTCTTCTCATCTCTCTGCTTTCTCAAAGTATAAGGGTTTCTTTTCTCTATAGTCCTGGGTTCCCATTGGCCTGTCTTCTCAGAGTAGCACTTCCATTCCCCTTCTTAACTAAGTCCCCATTGTCCTCTAGACCTCAGCTTCTCCAGGAAACTTAGCTTTTCCCTCCCAGTCCCTTGCTCTCTTCCGTGTTCCCACAGGCCCGGGCACTGACCTCAGCAGGAACTCTGGGTATGGTTAGAGGTGGGTGGTGGAGCTAAAGATTTGTGTCAGGACCGCAGGGCAACCAACTGTGATGGGTTTCTGTCGTTTGCATTGAAATCCGGTATCATACTCTTCTAGGTCTCCAACAATGGCTGGTGGGCTGTTTGCTGTGAGTAAGAAATATTTTGAATATCTGGGGTCTTATGACACAGGAATGGAAGTTTGGGGAGGAGAGAACCTCGAGTTCTCCTTTAGGGTAAGTATCCCAGCTTTTGTTTTTAGACTCGTTCGCAGTCTGTCATCTGTCTCTCTCTCTCTGGGATGATGGGATTTGCTGTTCTCTGTTGCGGTGGCTTATCCAATGATACTGAAAGATAATAATGGCACACACATGCTAAAAACATGCTTGCCTCCTTGTTTCAGCTTTTAAAAAATGTACTTGTAATCGATGTGGGGCTTGCAAGGGCCTTGAAAGTCACCCTGTTTCTCTTTCTACAGAGAGTAAGGCATCTGTTCAAGGTCACACAGTGAGTTAGTTAGTGGCAGAGATTGAGGCCCTTGCCTCCTTCTCCCATCTTCTGGAGTCTTCCTCAGTTACCTCCTTACAAATGACTTCTTTATTTAGCATAGTGACCTTCAGATACTGACACAGTAAAAATCACTGGGGAAACTTGGTAAGAAAGCAAGCTTCCAGGCAGTCTCCAGAAAGCCAGATTTGGTAGATTTGGGGTGGAGCCCAGGAATCTGCTTTTTATAACAAGTCTGCTTACCGATTCTTATATACAGGGCCCATTGATTCCCCTTTGAGAAGCTTCTAGCATTTCAGTGGGTTTTCCAGGTAGAGGGATATCACATATTAAGTATCAAAACCTTATATAGATATTCATGCTTTTCAATAGAAAATTGATTTCTAAATACTATATCTATTTTTAATATGGTTTCCTGCCCACTTAAAACAGAATGTGGCCTTCCACTTCGGACACAGGCTCTTGAGATAAATTCCAGAAGCTGTACTTAGTTGCACTGTCTTGGTTATTAAGGTGTTCATGGCCTTTTGTCCCAGCGAAAGTGGCTGCAAGTGCCTCTGCTCATTGAGTTTCTGGGGTGTGCTTTTAATGGTCTTTCTGCCTCTTCCCTAGGTGTCAGGCTGCTCTGTCTGCCTCTACAAGCCCTTCCTTTTCCCTTCCAAACCTCTCTTCTTACTTGCTGCTTTCCTCTCTCCTGTGGCTAGGAGATCAGGTAATGAAGCCCATGCTTTACGTAGCGAGTGGATGGGTTCCCAGCCAGGTTCCTGTGGGCCCTGCAATGAGCAAAGTGCATGAGATTTATCGTGCATGTGCTTGGGTGCTAGTTCCGATGGTCTCCGTGTCTCAGGCTCCTCTCTCTTGCTATTTGACCACGTCTGTGTTTTGAGTGTGTGGGGTAAGTGTCTTCCTGCCCGTGGAACGTGCGTGTCTTGCCAGTGGTCATCCTGACTGCCCCGTGTCCACCTCCTCCTGCAGCCGTTCCCTGCTGCTCAGCCGGGCCTGTCCTCTGCTCCATGTGCAGATCTGGCAGTGCGGTGGGACCCTGGAGATACACCCTTGTTCTCACGTGGGCCACGTTTTCCCCAAGAAAGCCCCCTACTCCCGTAACAAGGCTCTGGCCAACAGTGTTCGTGCTGCCGAGGTGTGGATGGATGAATATAAGGAGCTGTACTATCATCGCAACCCCCAAGCCCGCTTGGTGAGTTCCCTGACCCACCAGATGTGGCTGTATTCCCTCCCTACCTGACCTCATCTGGAGAAAAGCTCTTCATTCTGGCCTTCCTGACACTGTAGCTTTGGTTCCAGAAATAGAGAACAAACGATGAAAGGATGGGAAAAGTTTATTTCTCTGTTTGCAATAATGAGAAATCAACACAGCCAGACGGGATACTTAGAGGTATATGTTGTTGTTAAGTGCCAGCTAGTTGGTTCCTACTCATAACGACCCTCTATAGGGTTTCCAAGGAGTGGCTGGTGGATTTAAACAGTCGACCTTGTGGTTCAAACCAACCTTGCAGTTGAGTGCTTATCCTATAGTGCCTCACCAGGACTCCTAGAGGCATGTGGCAGACATTCTATTCAGATTACCTCTTTGTAACCAGGAAGATCAAGCCCACACACTCAGGATACGAGTTACGGCACAGTTCTTATTGGAGAACTTCCTGCTCAGGGCACACCTGCCATGTTAGCTTGTTGTTAAGATCCATCGATTTGGTTCCGACTCATAGTGACCCTGTAAAAGGTTTCCGAGGAGCAGATGGTGGGTTTGAATAGCCAACCTTGTGGTTAGCAGTTCACTGCTTAACCTATAGTGCCACACCAGGAGTCCAGCCAATTTAGCCAGAAGTCTTTTATTTCTCTCTCGAGGTCTCTCCCTTGTCCCCTTGAATTGCCTAACAAACCTGCAATCTTACTCTTCTAAAAAGGGGCCTCAGTGTTGCCTCTGCTTCCAGACTGATGGAGAACTGAAGAGTTTTCTGTCCACCTCTGCCATTCTCTCACCACATGTTGTAGCTGTGGGAGACAGGTCTCCCGGCCCTGAAGGGCTGACTGGCCTCTCAGTCTGTGCCCCTCTGGGGTACTGAGGGCTCATCTTTGTCAGTTTGCTGCACCGACCATCTCTGCCTGCCAGGGGGCGCATGGGATCTTGTCCCCAGGACTGTCAAAGCCACTTGATGAAAATCTCTTTTCTGAATCCTCCCAACAGCCCTGCTGGGCAAGAGAAACCTAGAGACTCAGCTTCTCACTGCTGCCCTGCAGAGCCTCCCCAGAAACTCAGACTGATTTCGTTCTCTGGGTCTCCAGGGTCCTTTACATCAGCGCCCTCCATTTTGCCCGGAGCTTCGGGATAGAAACACCTGCTCTCGGTCACCTCCTCTGGAGCCCTCAGTTTCCTGTTACTGAGATCCCCTCATTGTTGAAAGTTCTCCAAATATGAGGAGACTTCAAAAACTTCATGGAAAAGGAATGAAAAAATAATGCAAATTAAAGCCTCTTTTGTCTGAATGCCTAGCAACTGATGGCTAAAATAGAATGTGGATAAAGCCGAGAACACAGTGACTTTTGTCATAAAGAGACCTTCCAGGAAGTGGGCAGAAAGTTTTAAAAAGTAAAATATTTCATCATTGTTGTTATTATTATTATTATCAAAGGAACTCTGGTAGCGTAGTGGTTACCAATCGGGCTGCTAACCTCAAAGTCAGCAGTTCGAAACTACCAGCTGTTCTACGAGAGAAAGATGAGGCATTCTGCTCCTGTAAAGATTTACAGCCTCGGAAACCCTGTGCAGGGTCGCTATGAGTCGGAACCGACTCCACGGTACTTAACAACAGATTATCAATGTATTGAATATTGAACTTCTCAAGTATATTAGTTTAGCGCAGTACAGGGACAGTTAGGATTATTCTTGCTGTGCAATTGCTGTCCTAATTAGATGTTTCATTGAAATTCCTTAATCATTGGCTTTATCCCTAAAGCTCAGTGTCTACAAATATATCTTATTTTGCTCTTAGCATCCTAAGTGTGTCTTTCTACTCTGATGTATTGAGCAGCTAAGGTTTTTTCACTCATGGTTCCATCTAGAATGTTGACCGTGTTTGAGAGTGAATATTCAGATATTAATAGTGTATCAGAAGGCCATGGCACATGTGTTGACTGACATTTTTGCTGGTGGGGTGTCAGGGTGGCTTCTGGAATCACGTGCTTGTTGATGGACAGGCCCAGGGTGCCCATGCCCCCATCAGCAGGTGCATTGTCCCGTCCCTTGCACACCAGGTTACCCCTTCCTGTATTGAGAAGACCAGAGAATATAGTTGTTGTCTGTGTGTCAGTTTCTCCTACAGGAGTGCTAGAACTAGGTCTGAGGCAGTTTTTACTTCCGACCTTGCTTTCCACAATGTGCTCCATGAAAGCTTGTTGAATGAACACATGCCTGAGTGTCAGTGAGAGGAGGATTTTGGCAGGAAATGCTGTGTGTGACCTGCCAGGGCTCACAGTTGTACTGTTTTCTAAGGAGCCCTATGGGGATGTGACAGAGAGAAGACGGCTCCGTGCAAAGCTCCAGTGTAAGGACTTCAAGTGGTTCTTGGAGACAGTCTATCCAGAACTGCACGTGCCTGAAGACAGACCTGGCTTCTTTGGGATGGTGAGCACATTGGGCTTTGGGGGCAGGGAGATCCTTGGACACCAGGTCTGAGTGGAAAAGCCTGGGTAAGAAAGGCTCCTTTGTTGGGACTGCTACCCTCCGTTTACTCTCAGACCCTCCCACCTTTCATCCATTGTCCTTCCTTCTCCCGGTAATATTTGGGCTTTGCGTCCAAAATGGGCAAGTATAAGCCTTCTTCCGCTTTATGGATGAGGAAACCCAGACTTACTTGGTATTCCCATTTTTCACTTACATCTCACCTCTTTGTTGTTGTTAAGTGCCATTGAGTCGGTTCTGACCCATTAGAGACCCTGTATAGGGTTTCCAAGGAGTGGCCGGTGAGCTTGAACCGCTGACCTTGTGGTTCATACTGAACTTGTGGTTCATACCAAACTCAGTCCAGTGCATTAACCCACAGTGCCACACCAGGACTCCTCATCACTTTACTTAAGTCTGAATGGCTGGACTAGTTAATATTTCTAACTTAGGCATCTGTAACAGCAGAGTGGGGGTAGGGACACCACTTGTGTCCCTGGATGAGAACAGCCACAATTTCCAGTCCGTCTTTTGCTTTTGCTTGGATTCACTTTGCTGTGTCTTATTGACCAGAAGTGTCAATAAATACAAAACAGATTAGTACTGCACTAAACTCTATTTTCACTATGAAAATATTCAAGCATACACAGTTGCGGATAGTATGGTACATCGGATCCTGCCTGAGATTCTGGAATCCCCACTTCCACTTTCTTCCTTCCTACACCTCACCCTCCCATTCCTGTACACTTCAGTATGGATCTGTAGTTTTCTTCCAAGTTCACCGTAATGTCTTTGTATCATGAATATCTAATCCTTCCTTCTTCAGATTCCCTCAGTTTCTTCCAAGTACCTTTTGGTAGTTGGCTGATTTGAATTTGTATCGAAGCAAAGTACACATATTACAGTTGATTGTTCTGTCACCTGTTGTGTCTATTTTAATCTAAGGCTTTTTCTCCCCTGTTTGCAGAGCTATTGATTTAAAAATAACAGCACTGGTTGCCCTGTGCAGTGACATACATTGGAATTATGTATTTGTGTCTCCATGGTGTCTATTCTCTTGTACGTCTCCCCCATATTCGGTCCAAAGGCTTGATTAGAGTTGGGCCAACTTTTTGGCAAGAACACTTCGTAGGTGGGTTCACATTGTGTCTTATTGGACCAGCCTGGTAATGTCAGCTCGTCCCACCTTTAGTGATGCTGTGATGGATCCGTAGGTCCAGGGGCCATCAGCCCAGAGCGTCCATTATAAACTTTTCCCATCAGCCTTCCATGTAATGTTTGTAGTGAACATTGATAATCACTGCTTACATTCATTACTTCAGATAGAATTGTTAAATGGTGATTTTTTTTCTAATTATTATATTTTCTCCACAAATAACTAGGGCAATTTATTAGCCATGGGATTTAGAATTTATATAGACAAGGCATAGCATATTCTTCAAGTCTGTGTCTTAACTTGCTTATATTTAGAATAAATGTTGATAGTTTAGTTTCTTCACTTTGTGTCCGTTAGCTTGTTGTAGCTTATTGGCTTGTTTGTTTGGGGGACTTTTTATTTTTTTGATTATCACTGTAAAATCATGAGTTTTTATATGGCCAATGTGTCTTAATCAACTCAGCCTGTTTTAGAGTTTTGTTTTGTTTTTTTAAAGTTTTGGTTTGCTGGTCACATTGTTTCTATCCTATCTGAATGGTGTCGATAACTTTCTTGATTTCTGTTCTGTGTGTTCCATGCTCATTTTACACAGTCCCTGCTGTTCCTCCAAAAAGCCCTTATCCTTTTAGTGGGAAATGCAATTGAGGGTCCACAATCTGGTGCCAGGGCTACTCTTGTTGCTATGGGTTGGCGTGGCTGACTAGATACATAGTTGTAAACTTTCTAGTTGTTGGGTATTGTTGAGTCAATTTCAAGTCATAGTGAGCCCATGCTACAGAGCAGAAAGGCTTTGCTCTCCGTAGGGTTTGCTTGGCTGTAATCTTTGAAATCTTTGTAATTAAATGCCCTTAACAGTTGTACCACCAGCTCTCCTTAACTACATTAATTGCATGTTGAAATGATATATTGGGTCCAGTAAAATATACTATCGATAACATCTTTTTTTTTTCCGTTTACTTACATAGCTGCAGAATAAAGGACTGAAAGAATACTGCTTTGATTATAACCCTCTCAACGAAAATGAAGTCTTGGGCCACAATGTGCTTCTTTACCACTGTCACGGCATGGGCCAGAACCAGGTAGACGCTGCTTGTCGGGAGCACTACACTCCAGCTTGGGGAGGACAGCGGGAGGTTCTACATTCAATGGCTTGTCAGCATGACCGCTAAAGAGGGAGAAGAGGCAGAAAGCTGTGTGTTCCTTAAATTAAATATTTGGTATTGATTCTTTCATTATAAACCTAACATAAGCTCCTTATAGGACATTTGGGATATAGAAGTGAGAGGCAGGGCCCAGAGCACCACCAATGTGGCCCTGATCATTTTTCTTCCCATCTTATTTTATGCACAGACTTGAGATAATCCATTTAAATCATTGTTGTAATATATACACGGGGATTTCAAAAAGTTCATGGAGGAAAAAAATTATCTTTTCATTCCATTTTTCCATGAACTTTTGAAGCCCCTAGTGTGTGTTTTCTATTCTATTATTTCCATTTATTTGAGCATGCTTTTCTGACGTTACTAAAAGCCGTTTGAAAACATCCTTCCTAAGGCCCCTTGGTATTCGAGTGTGTAGATGTATTATTATTTAGTGAACTGATCTGTTTCCTTTTTTGAAATTATAAATAATCCTGCCACTGACATCTTGTGTCAGAAAGAAAGAAGGGAGAAACCAACAGCTCTGCATTTCACATGATGTCCTGGAAACAGATCTTTCAGGGGAATTAGATTTTGGTGCACAATGCCACTCTGCAGAGTGGTGTTGAGGGCTCCGGTGGATCTTTCTCCACTTAGTGCAGAGGAAGGACAGTGCTGGGGGGGGAGGGGAGCGGTCTGAGGCTCAGAACAGGCTCCCGTCCCTGGAAAGCAGATGGTCCCACCAAAGGTGATACCTCGTGGAGGGTGTCAGACACCTATACACATAGGGGTGAGGAATCAAATGTTTCTTTCCAATTTGGATTCGCAGGGTCCATTTGAATATTAAGCCTCCTTACGGTCCTGGTGTGTCGATTTGAACCAAAAGATTGGCAGTTCAAACTTATCAGCCACTCCTTGGAAACCCTATACAGGGTCACTATGAGTTGAAAGATGAGGCGCTCTGCTCCTGTAAAGATTTACAGCCTTGGAAACCCTGTGCAGGGTCACGATGAGTCGGAATCGACTCCATGGTACTTGCCAACAACAACATGAGTTGAAACTGACTCAGTGACACTTAACAACAATAACCGTGGTCAGCAGGAGTCCTGGTGTGGTGCTGCCATAGGATCAGCATTGGATGTTGTAGGATCGGCGCTGGATGATGTAGGGTCAACACTGAAAGTTTGACTATTAAAATTCTTGGCAACCTACACAGGGTCACTACGAGTTGGTACTCAATAACACAACATATGGTCAGCAGTAGGAGCCCTGGTGGCACAGTGGGTTAAGTTTTGGGCTGCTAACCACAAGGTTGGCAGTTTAAACCCACCAGCTGTTCTGTGGGAGAAAAATGAGATAATCTCTTTCCATAAAGGTTGACAGTCTCAGAAATGTCACTGAGTTGGAATTACCTCAATGGCAGTGGGTTTGGATTTTTGGCAGTAATTGGGATGCTTGAAACCTTACATTGTTTTGGTTCTTCAATACTCTGTAGAATTTTGATTGTTGGTAAGTGTCTTGGAGCCAGTTCCGACTCATAGTGACCCTGTAAAGGTTTCCTAGGAGTGGCCGGTGAGCTTGAACCACCGACCTTGCAGTCCAATGCATTAACCCGCATCACCACACCACAAAGCTCTTCAAAGGTGGTCCCTGAATCATACCATCAGCATCACTTGGGAGCTTTGAAATGCACATCCTTGTGCCTCACCCCAACCCTACTGAACGTGTAACCAGCTTCCCAGGAGGTTCATTTGAGAAGCAGTGCTGTATGTGCCTGTGTCAGGAGCCCCTGAAAGGAGGTGGGTGGGAGGTGAAACAGGAGCAGAAGCAGTGTCTGGTTACACACTTCCATTTCAGAACCCTGGTAGCATAGCACATTACAAACTGGGCTGCCAGCAACCAGGTCAGTGGTTGTAATCGATCAGTCTTTCCGTATGAGAAACATGAGGCTTTCTGCTCCTGTAAAGATTTACAGCCTTAAAAATCCTAACCAGGATCATTATGAATCAGAGCCGACTCGGTGTTATACAACCACCAACACCAGGCCCCGTTTCAGACAGAAGGACTCACTCTTTGGGCTGGGGTGTGGAAGTAGTAGTATAAACAAGCTCTGTAGGTAACCCACAGGCAGACAAGAGTAGGGTTACTGCTCTGAAGAACCAAGTCTTCCCCTGCACAGCCCAGCTGCCTGATGGTGCAAAGCACTGGCACAGCATTGTTTTTGGTGAGGCAGGGAGAGACTGAGGCAGAGGAGAGGAAGGGGGGCTGCTCAAGGTTGCAGATGGCGGAGCTGGGACTGGTCCTAACCCAGTATGCCACGAGGGCTCCTACAATGGCACCTAATAACCACATAATTCTGGGGACACTGGGAGGAAGCCATTTGATCAGATAGGCTAATATGGAGTCTGGGGATGAAGGGAAACTCCTTGGCCCCAGTGCTCATTCTTGTAACCCCTCTTTCTGTGGCAGAGGGTCACATGATCATGCTCTATTTTCAGTTTTTCGAGTACACATCCAAGAATGAAATACGCTATAACACCCAACAGCCCGAGGCCTGCGTTTCGGAGGTTGCAGGATCAGATATTCTCACCATGACGCTCTGTAAGGACACTACCCCTGAGGGTCAGAAATTCATCTTGCGGGAGGTGAGTGAGCAGTGTCATTGTCCCTTGCTGTCAGTCACGAGTGCCGCAAAGGGATGTGCGAAGGCAGGCGGGCAGCCAGAGCCTGGGAGCATCGCAGAGTCTGAGCTGGCAGATGGGTTAGAGTCCCACAGCCTCCAGATCTGTAGGATTTTTTCCCCACTGCTGGCTCCCTTCCAGTCTTTGTCCTTCCCTCATACCCGGAGCTGCGCTATATGTTAACGGAAGCTCTTGCAAACACACTTGAAGATGAAATAGGGTTTGAACAAGTGAAACAAATAGTCAAAGTGTAAGGATGGGAGGTTAGGTCTAGGGATAAGTTCCTCCACTTCTCTGAGTCTCATTTCCTCCGAATCTGAGATGGGAATGCAGTCCCTGGGTAGTGCAAACAGTTAATGCTCTCACTGCTCACTGATAGGTTGATGGGTCAAGTCTATACAAGGTGCCCTGGAAGAAAGACCTGGCAATCGATTTCCTAGAAAATCCGCCTTTGAAAACGTTATGGAGCATTTCTCTACTCTGACACCCATGAAGGTCCATGAGTCAGATTTAACTCAACACAGGCTTGAAAAGTTTTGTTTTTTTAAATTGCAGAAGTTGCCCCCAGATTAATAATACTGAAATGACCAAAGTCATTCCCTGAGCTCATAAGAAATATGTCTTAATGAGAAAAAAAATTGTTTTTTTTTTTTCCTAAAGTGTGACTTGCACTTCTTTTAAAAAGACACTGTGGGTTATATTTTGTAGGATGGCTCTTTGTTTCACGTACAGACCAAAAAGTGTGTGCAGGCTGAGAGAGAGGCACTTGGTGACGGGTTCATGCCACTCCTACGAGATTGCACCAACTCGGAATACCAGAAATGGTTCTTCAAGGAACGTATGTCATAGAGTGTCGCTGCCTCGGTGCTCGGTAGGGGAACCTGTGGGTCTGTGGACTCTGCCTGCTGGTGACTTTGCTAAGGACAATGACCCATCTCATTAAAAACTTCACTGCTCTTCTTTCTGTAAGGAACTCACTTTACAAATTGTGAAGTGATGTTGAATTTAGTAAAAATGTAAATAACCTTTGTACTAAAATTTTGAACATGTTGCAAAAGACCCGATTTCCAAGGGATAATAATTTTTTACAAGGTTAGCTTTTGACATAGTAGATGCAAAGAATGAAAACTTGAGAATATTTTTCTATCAGGATGTATATTTTACTTCTGTGCCTTTGATTCCCCCAGCAAAAAGAGAAATATTTAATGTTGATATTTACAAGGATTTCCAGGTGTGGAGATGTTTGCCCAGATGGAAATCAGACTTATACACTATACTTTGCATATACTGATAATACCTCAAGCATTGGGTTGGATTTTTCTTAATGGAGAAAGAAATGAGGAGTGTTGCTTTGATTTTTTCAGGCCATTGGGCTATTTTAAGTTTATTTAATAAATGATGCTATTTGATTACATGTTTACGTCCATAATTAAAACTCTAGTTAATGCTCATGGTAACTAAAGAGGACTAAACAGAGCTAAACTCTTGCAGGACTAGTTTGATCTCCCACACACAGGGTGGGCTTCCAGCTGGGCCTCGCCGTGCTGTGATTGCGTGACGCTGTAAGTGCCACTGTGACTTTAAGGAGCCCTGGTGGTGCATTGGTGAAGCGCTTGACTGGAAGAGGAAGCAGCTTTACTAAATCTGGTACTGTGCTGCTTGAAGATTTATCTGTCTTTTAGAATTTGGACGAATATTTATGGGTATCTTCTTTTATCATTTAAAAAATACTCTTTAAATGAAGAATTTTCTCTGCTGCTCATTTTAAATCTGGAAAGGAAGCATTAATAAAAATAAAGTTTTGCATGTCTTAATAAAAAATGAAAAGTGCAAACCCATCTAGAGGTTCCACAGAAGAAAACGTGTTTCTGTAAAAGTCGGTGGCGGTGGTTGTCGTTATATGCCATGGAGTCGGCCCTGACTCACAGCAACCCCGTATAGGTTTTCCAAGGCTGTAAATCTGAATGGGAGCAGAAAGCCTCATTTTTTTCCCTGTGGAGAGGCTGATGAATTCAAACTGCTGACCTTGTGGTTAGCAGACCAACTCATAACCCACTATGCTACCAGATCTCCTTTCCGTAAAGATTATGGCCTAGAAAACTCTATGGGGCAGTTCTCTGCCACATGGGCTTGCTGTGAGTTGAAATAGACTTGAGAGTGTGGCGCTGCAGGCTAATGCGTCAGACTGCAAAGCTGTTTGAACTGCAAGGTTGGGAGTTTAAGCTCACCAGCTGTTCCTCGGAAACCCTATACACGGTTGCTATGGGTCGAAACCGACTCAACTGCACTCAACAACAACAGTAACAATAACTATGACTCTAGAACATGTTTCTATAATTTTTAATCACTCTGTCTTGTGTTCCATAGGAAATTCGGCTTTCTAATTTGTTCACTAATAATGGTTGGTCATCTGTTCAGTTTTGTGCTGCTGCTGAAGTTTCTCTTAGTAGCCCTAACTTGTGACTGATCTGGGGTCCACTTTTGATAATTTCTCAACTTGGTAGAGTCAATATGAGTGGTAAAAAAGTTGAGAACACTCTAGATCTTTGGTAACCAATCAGATATAGGAAATGAAGACTCCTTGTACAATTTATTAAAAACTATCGGCTTGTGCCTTGGACTGTTTTCTACCCACATGCCCCTCTCTGATAGAACCCAGCTGGGACCACTTTCACAATGACCCAGAAACAACTTCAGCTGGCCTGGCTTGGATCAATGTGATGCATCTCAGTCCCTCTAGTTAAGTTTCAAAGCTGAGAGATTTATCTTAGTGCCATGCACAAAGTTGTTGTTGTTAAGTGCTGTCGAGTCGATTTCGATCCATAGCGACCCTGTATAGGGTTTCCAAGGCTGTAAATCTTTATGGGAGCAGAAAGCCTCATCTTTCTCCCATGGAAGAGCTGGTAGTTTCGAACTGCTGACCTTAAGGTTCGCAGCCCGGTTGGTAACCAACACGCTACCAGAGCTCCTTGGGGATCATCAAATGGTCACTTCTATTGTAGGCGGTTCAAACCCACCAGCTGCTCTTTGGAAACCTTGTACAGGGTCACTATGGGTTGGCACTGACTTGACGGCACTTCACAACAACAACGTGGTCATAAAAAAGGAGCTCTGGTGGCACAAAAAAAGGGGGGAAATCAAGTAATGCTTTTTTTTTTGGTGTTAAAAGAATTATTTTCCACAGACTGGAAGACATTGACAATATTTTGAGAAACTTTTTCCTTCACTACTGAGTGAGGACTCTTGAGAAAAGCCCATATTGATGTGAGGAAATTCTCCCCTTGATTTATTTTGCCTGAATGGGTGTCCGTTTGTCGCTACCTAACCTACTAGGTATGAATTGGCCCCCAGTCCTCAACTGTGAAGTTGGGAGTCCTGGGCTAAGCTCTAGCCATAGCATGTCATTTCATTTACAGCACATTTACAAAATGGGAATAATTGTGTCCTCTGTGGATTTCATTGAGTTTCCTCATAATAGCTTGATGCAATTTTGCTAACCTTTTTGCCACCACAGAACAAGACTCTCCCTCCTCTGTTTCCAGACACATTCTTCACGTCCAGGCCCTCGCTGAAAATGTTCCCAGCAGCCATGTTTCAACCAACAGTGTGCTGGCACAGCGGTTAAGCACTTGGCAATGGAAACAGTGCAGGTGTACCCAAAACTCACGTGGGCCCCAGAATACCTACACCTGTCTTCTTACACCTGCCTGCCTAACATATGAGGAGATTCCTTTTGAAAGCCTATAAAAATTCCTAAGAAATTGAATCTTCATCTCATGTCAAGTTCCTTCCTTGTCAGTTGGGAAGGATTTGTTTTATTTACATGGTCCAAGTCTGGGTTTCTTTCTGGGTTGCATATTTGTTAAATTTCCTGCATTTTTTCTCCTGTTAACACAGTGCGTAGGAATCACTTGGGCATCCTGGGAAAAGCAGGCTCAATGCCAGGAAGTCTGGGCTGGGGCCTGAGAGTCTGCATTTCTCACAGGCTCCCAGAGGATCATTGCTGCACATTTAGGTTAGCAAGATAGTGGTGGTGGAGGTTGTGTGCCACCGAGTTGGTTCCGACTCATAGCGACCCTCATATCAATCCTCCCAACGATGTCTGTGGGATTCAATGCCAAATTTCTCACACTTGCACACAGCTTCAGAGTTTTGTTTTCATGGTGATCATTTTGTTTGATCCAGTAAGATTGATTGATCCAATTGATTTCTGAGACTGTAAATCTTCACGGGAGCAGAAAGCCTCATCTTTCTCGTGTGGATGGACTAGTAGGTTAGCAAGATAGTCCTGGTGTGATGCTGCAGGAGAAGCACTCGACCACAGCGTTGGTGGTTCAAGTCCACCAGCTGCTCCTCGGAACCCTATACAAAGTGGCTATGAGTTAGAACTGAACCTGGTAACACTTAACAACAAAATGAGAAAACAAAAAAACGTGGTGTGACAGCAGTGCCTTACTCCCACACTAGGTGGAGCTCTCAGCTCAGGAAACAACATGGCTTTAGTTGAGGCCAAGTCTCCTATAGTAAAAATTCCCCTAATATGTAGATCCACATGTGATCTACCCCCTGGAAGATTCCCAGGGATCACCTACTGCCAAATGTAGTTGACAGGGAGCTGAGGCTAGTGAGGAAAGGGACTTTCGCCAGATCCCAGAGTAAATTAAGATGCCATTTTCTTTATCAATACCTTCAGTATGGGTTGCACCTCAATGTAAAGAAAACAAAAAAACCTCACAACTGAACAAATAAATGGCATCATGATAAATGGAGAAAAGATTGAAATTGCCAAAGACTTCATTTTGCTTGGATCCATCATCAACATTCATGCAAGCAGTAGCCAAAAAATCAAACAATGTATTGCATTAGACACATCTGCTGCACAAGTCCTTTGCAAAGTGTTCAAGAGCAAAGATTTCAGTTTAAAGCTCAGGTGCACCTGACCCAAACTATTTTCAGTAGCCTCATATGTGCGTGAAAGTCGGACAATGAATGAGAATGACCACAGACGAATTGATGAATTTGAGTTCTAGTGTTGGAAAAGAATACTGAAGGGTACCATGGATTGCCAGAAAAATTAAAAGGTTGTGTTGGAAGAAGTACAGCCAGAATAGGAACCAAGATGCTGAGACTTCATCTCTCATACTTTGGACATATGGTCAGGAGAGACCAGTCCCTGGAGAAGGACATGAAAGTTGGTAAAGTGGATGGCCCTTGTCGAGATGGATTGGCACAGTGGCAGCAACATTGGGCTTAAGTGCATCAACAATTCTGAGGATGGCACAGGACCGGGGAGCGTTTTGTTCTGTTGTGCATAGGGTCGCTATGAGTCGGAACTGACTCGATGGCACCTACCAAGAACAAGGTCGATGGTTCAAGCTCACCAGCTGCTCCTTGGAAACACTATACAGGGTCGCTATGGGTCGGACAGAAATGACTCAACAGCACTTAACAACAACAACAAAAACAAGAGCAACATCTTTTTTATCAGTAATCAGTGGGCTAGATTTAGCCTGGGTGTTGTGTGCTTCTTAAAGTGTTAAAGCAACACTCTGTTTTTCTTTCATTGTAAATGGGCTTTTGAAGATTTCTGTATGTCATTTTTGGAGTCCCTGGGTGGTACAAATGGTTAACTGCTTAATTACTAGCTGTAAAGTTGGCAGTTTCAATCCACCCAGAGGATCCTCAGAAGACAGGCCTGATGATCTCTTCTCGACAGGGCCCAGCCTTGAAGATCCTACGGCTCAGTTCTACTCTGTGCTCACAGGTCTGCCATATGTTGGAAAAGACCAACGGCAACTAAAAACAACATGTCAAATGAAAAAATAAAATCAGTTTTCTTTCTTAATACA